TATATTTGAAAAAATTCAGTTCATCTACGGTTATACGATACGATATATACGCCATCACCGCCAAACGGTATAGGGGTGGGGGGAAGAAGCATCGCGTATCTTAAAACCACCTCTAACGCCACAGACACACACGTACTTCATACATACATCATACCTATATATACGCAGTCGTACTATACATCATACATCCATTATCCATACATACATACATATAGATAGAGTTTACTGATGTGATACACACCTTTAGGAAATACACAGAAATAGACCGCCTTGCCCCAACCATTTTCAGGTGGATGAAGTCGGCCCTCAACGAGTCGTACACCACGCATCGTCCGGGATTCTGGATTGCGATATTTAAGGCCACACGTCCCGGGAAATTGAGCAGACAGGGTGGTCAATAAAAGCGTGCTATCGTCTTCGGTAGGCAACTCTATCGGTTCTTCTCCCTCATCTTCAGCAACTTGGATGTAGGACGTCATATTTGTTTCTTTTTTTTCTTACTTTCTTTCTTAAAACACACTCACCGCCTATTTTTTATTTAATTATATTTTTTTTATTCTATTTGCTTGCTTGCTTGCTCGATAGCTTGCTTGCTTGCGTCTTAGTCGTTGCAGTCGTCGTCTTCGTCGTCTTCGTCGTCGTCGTCTTTTTCCTCTTTTTGTTACTGTTATTATATTATTGTTATTATTACTATTATTATTATTATTATTATTAGCGTTATACCGTTATCGTTATTAATGTTACTTTACTGTTACTTTACTCTTGTTGTTATTAATTATTATTATTATTATTATTATTATATTTATTTATTTTTCTCTCTTTTTTTTCTCTTTATTCTTCCAAAAAGCAGGGTAAAAAAACTCGTACAACACAACAAACACACACGTTCATCCGATTCGCAGTCAATCACGCAACACCGCACCTCTTTCTCTCAACTACGATCATCGTTTTCCTCTCTTCTGTCCCCACCACTTCAACAACCAACATTTCCCACTATACCTCGCTTTATTGCTTTATTCTCTCATTGGTTGAACAACATTCGAGTTTAAACATTCCAATGCGACGCCTCTTCTTATTGGCTAATGCACTATCGATGATATATCGAATTATTTACGTACACTAGAGACCCTATAGGAGAGACGCGCCATGTACATTGCTGGGGGACAGGAACTGGTATAGTCACGTGATTGCGCGCGAAATATTCAAACATTGAAATAATTATGAAATAATGAATTGCATCAAATACAGAAAAAAAATGAACTGTATTAAATGATAATTAAAAATTTATATTAAAATAGAATAGGTTACACAAAAAAATTATTATAAATTCAATAAGAAAGATTCAGTTAAGTTTGATTTGATAAAAGGCAATTAGTATGTAAACAAACGATAAGTTATTGATTAGGTTTGTACATTTATACTTGTAATTATTAAATGAGTAAATTAAACCAACACTTATAGAAAACTACTAAAAAAAAAAAACAATTAAACATAAATATCACAATAAAAACTATAAGTATTCTAAACTTAAACTAACCACAGCCGTTAATAATAATAATATCCTAAAGATAAACATGGCTGCGCAATGCAATAGGAAGCAGTCCCCCCACATTTTCAGCCTTGCAATCTACATGGCGCGTCCCTCCTATAAGGTCTCTAACGTACACTAATTATCGTGTTATTTTACTTTCGAGTATTCGATATATCGATATTTTTTTTATATATCGATTATAATATTTCGTTTAATATTCTTATTTGTATAATTTGTTTTAGGTTTTATTTTTCATTTGTAATTATTAAATTGTAGATTTTCTTTTTCGTTGTTTCATACTTTTTTTATACTTTTAACGGTAAGACGAAAACGCTTCTCATTGGCTGACGAGTTACCAATCATTAATCGAATCGGTTAAGTACAACCAATTATTGAACTGCTTTCATTTCGATATTGACCGATATCGATTATTTTTTTAAAATCTTCATTATAGCAAAGTTTTATTTTATTTTACTTTTATTTTTATTGTTTCTAATATTTTAATTATTAGTTAGTTTTTGAATTTTTTCGTTATTTTATTTTGACAGATTTAACGGTAAGACGATGAAACAGTTTTTTTTTCACACATGGATCGAAAGTTCGCTTTTGCACCCTGTTTTCAGGGGCGAAAGTGCCACATTCCCTCCCGCTTGAATGTTGTAATAAATTAGTGCGCACGCGAACTAGTTTCTTAACCTTAGGAATATTTTAATAAATTAGTGCGCATGCTTCAATTTTTTAGCTCATGCGAACTAATAATACACAGAGGATAGATACCAGGAGTCCGAACGATATAGGATTTTTCACATTTTTTGTGGTAGTCATTTCTTAACCCAGATCATAGTTCTCTTTTTTGCCACTGGCTGCGCAAGTATTCAGAGCGTACCGTTACTATTATTATTATTACATGTAAATTAAATATAAAATATTAATTTATTTTTTTAGAATTATTTTTATTAAAAAATGGGAAAGTGTTGTGCCGTTTATGGTTGTCTTAGTGGCCGAAAGGCAAGTGAGAATTTAGGAAAAGTGGCTTTATTCAAAGCACCAAAAGTGAATAACCTCAAAATAATATTAAAAATTTTATGTTAACAAATAATTGATTATTACATTTGTGTAGTTTTTAAATAATATTAATTCCACGTTTCTTAAAATATTTTTTTTCAGAGCTGTCAATAGCAACAAGATTTCCCGCGTAAGTATTTAAACGAGTACTCTGTGAAAAGCAACGTGCCCTACCGGCAAAATATCTTGTCCCCTAAATTGATACCATTCTTTCAACATTACGTTCGGACTCCTGGTATTTATCCTCCGTAACTCTGAATGATCACAGAGAGAATTTTTTACTTCTATCCCTAATGATTTAACTGAATGCTATTTTTTTCTATTAACTATTACATAAGTAATAACATATTTATATAAAAAAAATTGTCGGATATATAATTAATGATTTTAATGATAACATGTGTTGTATCATAAATTGTATATTTTATTTATTTTTACAAGTTCTAAAGATTTTTGTTTAGTTAAATATTACAAACATAAATAGATTATTACATATAAATTTAATTATTTTCTTGATTATGAGAGTTCTATATGTTATAATTTATTATAATCTGTTTATTTTCACAATTTTTGAAAGTGACAAAAGGCGTATCGAAGGTCAAAGAATCAATCACTTCGTTCTCGATTTGAATTTCATTTAAATGCTTTTTTTTTTGCTTCCTAATATTTTCCGTTACTTTGCCCGAATAGAATTTTAATTTTTTAATTCTTGAAGAGGAAATAATCTACGTGAATTTATGATTGGAGATGATTTAGGTGCATATTGATTTTTCTCAGAATCAGAAGTTGACAGATTTACAAGAGACGCATGCGAGGGTGACGGACTCAAATCTTCGTCAGTATCAAGTACTAAATAATTTTCAGAGGTTGACTTTTCTTCAACAGGAACTTGTGCAGGTACATGACACTTGGAAGTAGACGCTGTCTGTTCATCAGCAGCTATCTTTTCTTTAACAGGAGCTTGTGCAGGTACATGACACTTGRAAGTAGACGCTGTCTGTTCATCAGCAGCTATCTTTTCTTCAACAGAAGCTTCTGCAGGTACATGACACTTGAAAGTAGACGCTGTCTGTTCATCAGCAGCTATCTTTTCTTCAACAGGAGCTTGTGCAGGTACATGATACTTGAAAATAGACGCTGTTTGTTCATCAGCAGCTATTATACCATCGTAAATTTTTTTTTTATTGGCTAATGAATGCTCGATGTAGCCTTCAGTTACCGTACTTGACCGCCAACCTGCAAGTTGCTTAACAGTGGTTAAGTTAGCACCTGAGTTCGCTAGTAAAGTTGCTCCTGTACGGCGAAAACAGTGACCCGTGTATTTTTCTAGGCTTTTCAATTGAAGAAAAATTGCAACGATTTTTGAAATTTCGCTTATCTTGTTCTTGCCCATGACTTGACGCATAGAAGTCTCTTTGATAGTTGATAAAAAATCTATCATTATCCATATGTCTTCAGGTATAAGTAATACTTTTCCTATTATAAATGATCGTGGATAATGATTCTTGTTATCTCGTATCGATACAATTAATGATCGATATTGTTACAATACAATTGGGTACCCGTATCTTCAACATCCTTGACCTTGATTTCACAAAATTCACTGGTTCTCAGAGCACCACATACTCCAAAAATAAGGATGACCTTTTAAATAAAATATTAATAATTGTATAAATTGGAATTATCAATTTTAAGCTGTAAATATATATATATATTTTTTTTAATCTACTTATTTTCGCCGTCAAATAAATTGAATCATCAGATTTATCTAAAAATTCTTTTATTTGTGCCAATGTTAGAGCTTGTGCTTTCTTGGGTTTGTAACCTATTTGCTTGATTTTTAAGGAAAACTTTGAGGTTGTTGTACACATTCAAATTAATGTTATGTCGCAGACTCATAATAGTCTTCAACATGGACCATCATATATTCCATAGAGTTGAGGGTAAATGTAACATACCTAGGGCAGTATAGTAAGAAAGCGGCAACTTCGTTTTGCACAGCTGTAGCTGGAGAAAAGTTGACGCTTTCCTCCCGGGAAGAAAAACATGTGAACTGTAATTCCTTTTAACCTAACAGCAAAATATTAATAGTATATTTCTTCCCTCCGGACGAAAAGCGTCAACTTTTCTCTCGCTGTTCAAAACGAAGTTGCCGCTTTCCGCCTACGTCGAGCAGAAAAAATGTATACTCACCATGGGCAGTAAATAAGAAAGCCTCAGAGCACATGTTTGTTGACCTCGGCTTCGCCTCGGCCACCAATTACATGTACTCTGAGACATTTCTTACTTTACCTCCCTAGGTGAGTAATACACTATTATTGGCTGATGTTTCGCCGCCAATAATTTTGAATTATTTATGTATAAAGCAATTATATTATAATTCTTTATAAGAAATATAAATAATTAATACAATTTTTGTATAATCACACAAACATGTTGTATAAATATAATATAAAAAAATATTAATATATCACTTTTCAATTACATTCTATAAATCATGCCATTTTTTGTTCACATTCAATTGTATAATTCATTCATTCATTCGATTGTAAAGACATATTGTTTTTTAACGTATTAATGACCGGTTCCCATGCAAAATCGTAATAATCATCCTTTATGTTGATCACATTTTTTTCTTCAACTATATTAAAACATTGTTTAAACGGTGTATATTGACTCATAGTATCTTTATCCGCAATAATAATTAATTTATGTTTTGCACGTGTAACAGCTACGGTTAAACGTCTGTGATCTTCCAATATTCCAGTATCCTAAATAAAAAAAAAAAATAAATAGTTTACTTATTGAAATAAGAAGATTTAACAAAAATCGTTTATAAAACGTTAAGTGTACCTGAACTTTGTCTAATTTTTTTGAAACACTTTTCGTACACGAATAGAAAATAATATCTTTATCGCGTCCTTGATATTGATCGACCGTATTTATTTCTATTTCTGAATCTACTAAACTTCTAATAAACATAACTTGCGCTTTGTACGGTGCTATAATACCAATTTGTTTGCATTCTATACCAATCTGTAATACAGAAATAAATGAATTATAAATGAAATATAAATGTTAAATAACAAAACAGGACATATATATATATATAAATAAACAATTACCTGAAATAAAGTTTTCAGCAAATACAAAATTAAAGCTGCCTCCCAAATATTAGTACAAGTTTGATCAGTCTTAATGTTATCTTTTTTATCAATAAAATCAATAGTCATTTCACTAATACAACCAGTATTTAAAATAATCACAGAATCATCCAATGCTGGTGATAATACCGTTTTTACCCATCTTTCATTCGACGATGGTATCTGAAACATAAAATTAGAATTCATTTAAAAAAAAAAAAAAAAACATATCTCTCTCTTCATTATTCAAAATTAATTTAAAATTTCATTACTTTTGTATTGGGTGATACAAAGGTTGCATTTTCTATTGTTTCATTTCCTGCTTTTAATTGATCATTGTACGTTAATTTGTTTATCAAATTCATAATAGTTTTGTTCATTCTATATTGTAACATTAAAGAAATGGTATTGTTTTCTGAATCCAATTTTTCAAAAAGTGATATATCTGCTCCAAGATTTCTGAAAATAAAAAAAAATATATATATATATACAAGATTGTTGAATAAATATATAAATGAATATAATATTTGATGTATATTAATAAATCAAAATATATTTTACTTAGCCGTTTTACTTCTAATAACTGGCGGTAATTGATTAGGATCTCCAACCAAAATAAATTTATTAGCGTTGTACAATGGACCTAATATTGCTGGTTGAGTTACTTGAGTACTTTCATCAACTATACACACGTCAAATGTTCTTTGTTCAAAGAATACATGATTAGAACCGTAACAAGTAACTCCTACAATTTTCTGCAAATATATTTTTAATATTAATACAATTATCTTAATATATTTTATAAATAATTTATATACCTTATTTGAGTACACCGAATCCAATTCTTCAATGGTTTTACACTCAGATGTTAAATATTCTTCACTTTTATTTTTTAATAATGGATTTACCGAATAAGATGATCCCAATCGTATAAAATCGATATTTTTATTCACCAATTTCAACAAAATGTTATCTATCGCACTATGAGTATGCGATGTTACAATTATTGAGGTACCTAATTTATATAAAACTTCAATCAATGTTACAATTGTTTCAGTTTTTCCTGTACCCGGCATGCCTTTTATTAAAACGTATTCGTTAGCAGCTAGACACTTAAGTATTGCTCTTTGTTGTATTTCATTTAAATGTTGTAATACTGTTGCTGATTTGAAGATAACTGAACGAGGTAATTTTGTTAAAAATGTTGCTGGTTTTCTAAAAATTAATATACAATCATGTTAAAGTATTTTTAATTTGAAAATAAATAAATATATAATTAACTTGAAGTAATACTTGTCTATAACGATGCTTCGTAATCTTCCACATATTATATTGTCGTACAACAAACCTCCAATATTTGAAAATAATGTTGACGATAAAGAAGTAATGGAATTATATTTATCAATATGAAAATTTCCAATCATGTTACGTTTTGTAATATTACTGTTTAAAAGAAGAGTAATAGCATTTTTATTTATTTTCATTATAAAACCTGATGATATATTTATTCGTGTATCCGTACTAACAATAACGTATTCATTTTCTACAAATTCAGTAGAAATATTTTCATTGATGATAGTTTGACTGTCGGTACGAACAAAGATATGTTTAAATCTATCATATTGTGGTACAACTTTACCAATAACTTTTAAATTGCTAATACAATTTCCTTTCAGTTCTCTGTAATAATAAAAAGAATAATTTTGTAAATAATTCATTTAGGTTAGTTAAATATATTATGATTAATATACAAGTTACCTTTTCTCTGGTGTTAATGTCCATATATCTTTCATATTATATTGTTCAGCTTGTATATTTTCTTCCATTTGTAAAATAGATACCCACTTGAAGATAAAATCTATATGTTTATCTTCAAATACATTTAAAATTTCTTTACTGAGTTTAATTAATCCATGTGATTCGGATAATTTTAAAGTATCGTCCTTTTTTAAGTAAGCACAGCATAAATTATTGTAAGGACATCTTTGACAACTTGTATAATTATTAATAGGTTCTGGTAATGGCATATTATTCTTCAATAAATCTTCCAAATCATCAGAGAAGATTATATTTCTCGTTTTGGTAAAATAATCAACCAGAGTATTCCTTAATAAAATTAAATCTCTCTTTTCTGCACGACCACAAGTTATTTCACGCATCTTATTATTTCTGTAACATTTAAAAAATAAATATTTCAAAATTATTATTTACGTTTATATATTTAGATTATTCAAATATTGTCAATTATTTCATATAATATTTCTTAACCCTTTGCACTTGAGGCCCTTTTCCTTTTCCGAGTAACAAAAGACTTGAAATCAGCCACCGGGCGCCGTATCGGCGCCACTCGAGTTCCCACTTAAATCTGCTTGTTTATCGAGTGCAAAGGGTTAATAATTATTATATTAATAATTTTAATAATTCAATTAATATATACTTAAGATATAATAATAATCCGCTATCGGTTTCTTGACCCATAAAAGCCATCATCATGATATATAAGATAACTTGACCCCTATGTTCCAACGAAAAAGATGGTCTTCCTGTTTTTATTTCTATCGGCATTATTTGTTTCTTACGAGAATGAAGTTTAACTTCAACCGTAACATCGATTTTTCCCTTTAATCCTAATTTTGGTAACCAAATATTTTCTTCAATGTCGTGTACCTCAGAAATTGTACCTTTGAAGTTATCTTTGTCGTTACTTATTGCTTTCTGCTGTATATCTAGAAAATATTTTAAATACATATGTTAAATTTGTGATGAACATAAGATGAAATATTTTGTATTACCGTGTACATAATGTTGAATAAATTCCGATATTTGTGGTACATATGATAATACTTCTTCTTGACATTTTTCAAACGTAGATTCAGAACCGTACAACATATAAATTGTATCTTTAGATTTTAATTCAATTTCCGCCATTTTTCTAATATCATCTATTTTATAAATATTTTCAACAATACTCTGAAATAAATAAAATATAAAACATATTGAAGAAACAAAAATACAACATTTACAAAGTAATATTATGATTTACTTTTTGTAAAAGCATATGAACTATCTTTCCAATAAGCAATGGCATCTGATTAGAGATGAAATATGGTAAAGATTCTATTCTTCCAAACTTTTCACTCAACACTGCTCGCCTGTTACAATAAAGACCACCAACAATAGTCGTACTAGAAACCAATACGTCAGGTTTTATTACAATGTAACCATAATCATTATCAACAACCCAGTTCTGTGATTCTTTCTTTGCTTGTATCACCACAATGTCTCCTTCGTTAATTTGTAAATCCTTCCTTGATTATGATAAACAAAAACAAATATTAATACATAATTAAATAATACATAACTAAATACATACTAAATATAATACATAATTAAATTAATGTAAAATTTTCATTCAACAATTACCAATATCCTAAACAAGTAACAGTACCAAAACTTTTCAATTCAGTGTGTTGTACTTTTAACATCATAGAATTGAAATTCTTTTCCAAATTTATGACTTCACATCGTTCCAATGAATGAAGATTTATCTGTGAATCTAAATTCCATTCGGTATCAAATATTTCATTAAAATCATCTGCATTCAACTCTTCACAATTGTTCATGTCGTTGAACATTTGATTTAATTCAACCATATCTAAACTTTGATTACATTGAGATTTGTTATCAGTGACTTTTATTGTATTTTTACTATTACTTGGTGTAGTTTCTTCATCATCGATGATAGTTAAGTCATCGGTAAGACTTTCAAGCAAAGAATTATCCAATTCTTTAATTGTTTCATCACATATATTTAAAGAATCATTAGCACAATTCTCAGACATTTTGCTGTTTTCTTTTTTCGTGTCGGTAATTTTGAGACTATTGTCAAAAAGTGATCCTTTGACATCACCATAACGAATATTCTTCATTTTTATATTTGATTCAAAATCTAAACTCTCAGATCTTTTTCGTTTTTTATTAATATTGTGATTTATGGAAGTATTGTTTTTAATTTCTGTAACTACAATCACATCTTTCTTTGTATCATCCTTCTTTTCTTGAGATTCAGGAGTTTTGGTAAAAAATGAATGAATCTTTTTCTGATTTTTCTCTGACGCATTTGTATTCTTCGAAGGCTTTAATCAAAAATACATTTAATCATATAATGCAATAATATTTGTTATAAAATTTTGTATTTGTTTATTATCATGTGTCATAATATTACAATTTTTAATTGTATGACAGAAAGTATTTACCTTTTTTTGAGTTATATTTGATTTCTTCATTATTAATTARTTATTATTATGACTAGCGTACAATTATTTTATAAACATAATACAAAATGTACTTTATTACAACAATTTTTGCCTCTCATCACTTTTGCCGCCAATTATTTGTTACGATTCATAAACTATAAAAAAAAAAAAAAAAACATTTCAACTATAAAGAATTTAATTACTATTTTTGCCGATAGATCTTGCTAGTGTCGCCAAAATCATATGTTTGATTCTAACCCGAATTAAAGGCGGGAAAAAGTATATTTTGAAAAAATAAAGATTGTTTTTTTTTTCTTCTTTTATTTAAATAATTATTATTATTCAATAATAGAATGTTTTGTTAACTTCAGTTAATTAATTTTATTGACGTTTGACGTACGAGACGTGTCAAATATATATATAAAAAAAAAAAAATGTCACAAGTTTGATTTATTCCTGAATTTAATCGTTCACTTTATGAACACAATTTAAAGTTAAACGAATTTTTGTAAATTATTTTAAAATGTCGGAAGATGTGGAACGTGATGAGTTGTTAGAAAATCGTGAATTTGGACCACCGAAATCATTACAAAAATTGGATAATGCTGATATTTTATGGAAAATGATAAAGAAAAGATTTCCAAATGCTGCACCGCTTCTTTGCGAAATGGAAACTGTTATTGATCGTGCGGATGATCTTTTGCAACAACTTAGAATGCCTTGTACAAGATCTCCTGGTGTGGTATTCATTAATTAATTTAAAAAAAAAAAAAAAACGAATTTTATAAATATTTTAATTGTCGTATTAATTTATTTCTAGAAATATCAAATGTAAACAATTACGTTGATTCCGGTGAATCCGACGAAATGATTTCATTGATTTGCGACGAATCATTTCCAGAAGATGCTGATGTAAATTTAGTCAAAAAAACACTAATTTAATATTAATCTTTTTAATTTTATAATAAATAAAGAAAAAATATAAAAAGAGAATTTTGATAAAAAGGTTGTCGAAGAGGAAGGAATAATGATGAACACAGCAGGAACACAAATTTCAGAAAGTAGCATTTCAACAATTGACACGGATTTTGACTCCATTTCGTCTAATCAGCCATCTTTGAGTGACGAAAAATTGAATAATTTGAAAGAAAATTTGAAACATGAGGAACATCGAAATGAAAATGATAGTAATCGAGAACAAAATAATAATATTAATTTCGTTAAATGTTTAAAACATTTTTTATTTAAGCAATTTATAAATGAAACTTTTGAAAATTACTCAAATAATTCGTAAAATATTTTTTATTATTGTAGATTCTTCGAAAGACACTAAAGAAGGGAACAGTGAGTTTAATATAAGAAATAAATAATATTTAATAATTACATTATTTTCATATTGTTTATGCATATACAAATATTTATTAACGAGTAATATTATTTATACAGAGAATATTAATGTGCAACATGATGAAAATAATAAAAACGTAGATGAACGTACGAAATCATCGTTGAACACAAAAGAAACTGTTGTAACCAAAATTTTCGAAAAAGTACAAGAAAATAATAATAATAATAATAATAATAATAATAATAGAAATTTTTCGGGAGATTGGAAAGATAATAAAATTAAAGTAGACAATTATTATTCAACATTAAACAATTTACAAAATAATAAACAAATGGAAGAAAATGTTGATAAAATTAACGTAAATGAAAGAGAGGTATTTCAATAAAATTATATTAAACAAATTGCATAAATAAATTATACAAAATAAATATATAATATGAGAAGATAATTAAATATTATTATTTTATAATTTTTATATAAAATAATATTTAAAATGTTACTTATTAAATTGATTGAACAAATAGAAATAAAACAAAAAAAAATGGAATATTTAAAGTTAAATATTTGATTACAGATGTTCGTTGATAAAAAAATAAATAATAAAACACCGTTGGATATTTTAGAAGATTATGCTAATAAATGTAAAATCAAAATTCAATATTATTGCGAGAAAAATAAATGTAATCGTTTCGTTATCACTGGAAAGTTATCCGAATTTTCTGGTAATTATTTTACTTGAATGAATATAAAATTAATCGTATATTTAAAATAAATTCTTTATTAGTTATATATATATATATATAAATTTTTAGCTACCGATTGCGGTGATTCGGAAAATTTGGTTAAAAATAATATAGCAAAGATAATATTGCAAAATATAGCTGATCATCAGATGAATGACAAAGATATGAAACAATTGTTGGAATTAACTCGAGAACAGTAAATTATTTAAATTAATTTTATCACTCTATCTTAAATAATAATAAATTTCTATGAATAATATTAAAATATTATTCAATAATAATATTATAATATAATTTTATAATTAATAAATAATATTATAATATTGGATTGGAAACTAAGTAATTGCCGATTTCAGTTATAGATGTCTCTCACACCCATTTTTATTATTTACTTTTTTTTTTATTTCATTTTTTTTATTTTTATGTCATCCTAACCTAGCTTTATAAGTTCATTGTGTAGATATTTTCTTCAAGTTTTTTTTTCTTACCTCAATATTAAACATAAATCTTTTATTTCATTGAACAAATCGGCAATTACTTAGTTTCCAATCCAATATATTATAATTATTATTTTCAATAATAATATTATAATATAATTTTATAATTTAAAATAATTTTTTAATAATAATAATAATAATATATAGTAGTAGTAGTATTTATAACATTTTAAATTAATTAACATATTAAATAAACATGATAAAAATAATATTATTTTTTCTTTTTTGAAAACAAGAATATTAGAAATAATTAATTTTGGAAATGTGGATGATACCATCATTGAGACGCCATTGCGAAAAGTTTACATGCTTTGTATAAAAAAGGGGGAATCCCCACCGAAATACGTAACGGAAAAAAAATACAGGCAGGAAGGTGTTAAATTTGTAACCAAATGCGTGGCACTCAATTACGTCATTGAAGGTAAACAAAACAAAAACGTAATAATTATTTCTAATTTATTTTTACGTAAACTAACCTCAAAAAAAAACATGAAAACGTAGAAGTGGGGAGGGTTCTCAATTAAAATTATCTAAACAAATAAAAATGTTATAATTATTTCTAATTTATTTTTACATAAACTAACCCCTCAAAAAGGGTAAGAAGAGGGAGGGGTCTCCTCACTCAATCAAAATTATTAACCAATTAGATTGTATTTCTTTCATTTTTCTTTTATTTATTTTGTTAGGACAAGGAAGTAGCCATCAAAAGGCTAAAAAAGCAGCCGCAGAAAAATTCTATGAAAAATATTTTGATACTGAAGAGAAAATAGAAGGAGGAGGAGGAGGAGGAGGAGGAGGAGGTGGAGGTGGAGGTGGAGGTGGAGGGGAAGAGAGAAATTTATTTGAAACAACATAGATAACATATTAAATAACAATTATGGTATTTTTGATACAATCCATGGTAATTTTCCTGTCCTTTTGAACGACCAATAATCGTACAATACTTTGAGGATGATTAATAATATCATTAATGCCAATATAATGTTTAAAATGTCCAATGGATATATCAACGCATTGTCATCGGGTGATATACAAATTTCTGTACGAGTTAATTCACGTATCTGTTTGAAAAAAAAATTTTTTAAAATTAATTTACATGGTACTCCAACGATTCGATTTTAAAAAAAGTATTATTGATAATGAAGGGTGGGGAGGAGGTAAGGGCGTTTTTTATCAATCATATTAAAATAAAACGTTGAACGTGCAAATACAAAATTTGTTGTTGTTGTTGTTGTTGTTGTTGATAACTAATTAATTTTTATTTAATTAGTTAATATATAATTTATTAATAATATTATTATAATATTATAAATTTATTAAATAATATTATTATTTATATATAATTTATTAACTAATTAAATAAAATAACTAATTAATAATTAATTAAATAAAAAGAGTTAATAAATAAATAACATAATAATATATTATAATAAATAAAATAACTAATTATTAACTAATTAAATAAAATATTTATTAAATTTACTATTAATCAAATTCAATATTAATTTAATAAAATTCATTAACTAATTAATTTTTATACAACTGCTACTACTGTAAAAAAAAAAAAAAAAAAAAAAGAAAAAATGATAAATCAAATAATCATCAACGTTTACTATGTTATGTTTGCTATGTTTGACATGAATTTTTTACGATTAAATCACCCCCTTCTCTCCTCAGTTGAATGAATAATAATCGTGTTAGCAAATAAATCACCTGTTTGTTTGAATTTTCGTCACCACTGATAACTGCACACTTGACCTCGTTTATATCTCTAACTAAATTTGTATACCTAATCAATAAATCCTATAATACCCATAAAAATACTTTTATTCATAAATTCAATTAATCAACTTGGTTTTCTGTTGATTAACAGAATATATTCAATGTCCAATTAAATTCAAAATGATTTAATAAGGTATTTTTTTTTTTAATTTTATTTTCTTACCTGAAATCCAGGTGTAAAGAGACAATCACATCGCCAAGGATTATTACCAAGATACAATCTCACTACGTTGTTACTTTGTAACAAAACATTTTCCAGTGCGTAAGTTGGCACCTATAATTGAATATATTTAAACAGAACAAAATAAAATTAGAGAATAAATTTAACCAAAGGATTATGATGTCTTATTATAAGCCTAAGAGTTAACATATTCATTAGCATATTTAATATTGGTCAGGTGTTTTAAATCTTCTTATGTAGAAGATTTTCATGTAACCTAGTGAATAATATTAATGTAACAAAAGAATTATTATATATGTACGATTAATAATTGAAATAAATATTTATTTATATAGAACAAAATTAAAAATATAAACAAAATAAAATTAATTCATTGGATTGTTAAATAAAATAAAATAAAGGTAGTTGTATTTGTTTCTTTTTTTTTTAAATATTTTAAATATTTTAATTTAAAAATTATTGGAACAAATTGTAAAAAAAAAATAAAAATAAATTATTATACAACATTATATATAAAATTATATAAAAATAATATAATAAAATAAAATAATATAAAAATTATGTAAAAATAAATATATATATGTATATATATATAAAAATATACAAACATCAGAAAGTTTATTTCCACGAAGGCTTAAAATTCGAAAATGATCTAGCCAATAGGAACCATCCAATTGTACAATGGATTCCACTAAATTATCATTCAAATAAAGATCCAATACTTGTTTGTAAACAGGATTTTTAACCAATGGTGTTAAATCTTTGATCTGCAATCATAAAATTGCATTTTTATATTTCTTTTTTGATTATTTTTTTCTAAATCATATTTACGATTATTATAAATATTTTTTAGGAATAATTTGATTGTTGACCTTGTTTCCGGTTAAATGTAACGTCGTAGTATTGGCTGGCAAAAATTCTGGCAATTCTGTTAAATCTCGATAACTGCAATTAACTGCAGCAAATGCAATTAATTGTCTCGATGTTCTTTTACCACCACGTCCAACCACATACACTAATTCACAATCGCATAATGTTCTTTTGCATTCATCTTTTAACGTCTATCAAAATAATATTAAAATTTAATTTACATTTCAGATATTCAAATTTACATCTAATTTAATTTAAGTGTTTTGTTTGTATTTGTATTATTGTATACAAAACAATATTTCCAATTAACAAATGCAATTATATCGTATGATAAAAAAGTCGTTTAACCTCTTCAGAAACACGATATATTTTTTTTAGCGGGAAAAAAATGACTTTTGGCGGGAACAAATGTTTCTTTTCTTTTTCTCTAACTGTACATCGGAAATAATCATTATTAGTACTGCCAAATCAAAGAATGTTTACTACACTGATTGATTTATCAAATTTTTGTTCTATTTATTATTAATATTAATTATAATTATTAAAAAACTAAACGTTCACGTATAGGAACATGGTAGTCCAGGGGTGTGAAGAGGTTAGTTTTTCTTTTATTATTTGTTTTGAGTAAGTTTGTATTAAAAAAAATGTTGTAAAAAATTACCATAATAATTTCAATGACTTGTACGAGTGGTCTTCCTTCATGGGGAACGGAACAACGTAATTTTTCACGATCAACAATTTTTTTAGCGAATGATTCGTTCCTCGTGTTGAGAATCCATGCCATATTTTCGTTACATTTCAATGGATTACCTTTTTGTTTGTTGTTTAATATTATATATAATTATTAGTATTAATAAGAAATATTTTAAAATATTTTTAGTATTATTATTAATTCATTAAAATAATTAATTATAATGAATAATATAATATAATTAAATAATAGTAAATAATATGAGCCGTTTATTTTGAAAGTGGCCTAAGTCCATTTTCCAAAAAAAAAAATCGAGTTAGTTACCGTAATAGTTACATTTTTACATGATCTTTTTATTCTGAAGCAATTTGTTACAAAAATAATTAAAATCGTGAAGATTTTGTTGCAAGAAAATTTGACGATTAACGGAATGATGAAAAATTTATTTTGAAAGTTGCCTAAGTCCGTTTTTCAGTTTTTTCCCGGTTGTCATGGTTACGTGTACAACTTTATGTTATTTATCAGTAAAAAAATCAGTATAAAAAGTGAAAGACACATTATAGCTTACAGTGACATGTGCACCGCATAAACAAAATAGAAACTTTAAAATAGCTTTAATGTGGTTAAAAATTGTCCAATCTTTGGAAAATAATGTAGAAATTATAGATCACAAATTTTTAATATCAGGACATTCGTTTTTACCAAATGATAGAGATTTTGGTGTGGTAGAAATGTCATTAAAAAAAAATAATTTACTGTTCGTTCCCCAAGATTATTACAAGATTATGAAAAAGTGTCGGAAAGGTAATAATTTTATTGTAAATGTAATGAGACAAGAAGATTTTGTATGAACAAAATTATTAGAAGATGCAATTTTTAAAAGAGTAAAAAATTCTAATGGAGAATCAATAAACTGGCTAAAAATATGTTGGATGCGTTTTGTCAGAAATGAACCGTATAAAATTTTCTATAAGACATCAATAAATAAGAATGAAAATTTTAAAGTCCTGAATTTATTACCACGTCGGGGTAGACCAAAAAAGTTCGAAAATATTATATTGACACTACTGTGTAAAAATATCAGACAAATTACAACAGCAAAATTCAAGGACATAATGAACCTATTACGATATATACCACCGGAACATCATGATTACTTCAAATCCCTTTCACACGCACAAAATGTAGATGAGTAGTAAATTGTTTTGTAATAAATTTATGTTTGTAATTTTGCACGTTATGTAATTAATTGAATCGCATAAATTATGTTCCTGAAGTGTTTTAAGGATATGTAAAATAAATTCAGTATTGTTTTTTTTTTTTTTTCAATTTGAAGCATCTTAAATTATGTTCAATGGACTTGGACACTTTTTCCACATTTTGAAAATTTTGTCAGAGAAATTGTAGGATTTTTGTCGGATTTCAAATTTTCTCGGGGCGTACGATAATTTTCTTGCCGCATACTAGGGATCCTGTAGGAGGGATGCGCCATGTACATTTTTGGGGGACCGGAACTCGATTTTGCGCGCGAACGATTCAAACATTGAAATAATTATGAAATAATGAATTGCATCAAATACAGAAAAAAAATGAACTATATTTAATGATAATTAAAAATTTATATTAAAATAGAATAGGTTACACGAAAAAATTATTATAAATTCAAGCGGTCCCCCAAAATTTTCAGCCAATGGCACATGAGCTGAATACTGTTGGCGCATCCCTTCTACAGGATCCCTACCGCGTACGATAATTTTACGCCCCTGTGTCGATCAGACGAACTAAAGTCTGTGGGATCACTGGGCCTGTGCTGCCAGATCGTGGGTAAATCGTACCCTCTCCCTGTGCCACCACAGTGATGCACAGTGTGCCACAATCCCACAGGATTGCACACAATGAAAGTTACCCATGTCCGTGTGTTCGGGATGTCGAAAGAAGTCGAGTGTAACCGAAGTTGGCGGGCACGCCGGAGTGGCACACTATGAAAGCGACTCGTGTCGTCCGACATGCACATGGACACGAGTCGCTTTCATAGTGTGCAACTTCGTGGCCAACCGCCAACTTCGGTTACACTCGGCTTTCCTCGACATCCCAAACACACGGACATGGAAAACTTTCATTGTGTGCAATCCCAGTGGCACAGGGAGAGGGTAAGATTTACCCACGATCTGACAGCACTGGATACGAGTGGAGGGAGAGAAAAGCGAGGAGAAACAATTTTGTGTTCATGGGGAGCATGGAGGAGGAAAAAGCATGCAGGGAGGAGACTGAAAGAATGATTACGACAAGATTCATGATGGATATGAATAAATACAGAGTATTAGATATAATTAAAAATATTACTTATGATGATTAATAATGTATTAATAATATATATTAATAAATAAAAATATATTATTAATAATAATAATAATAAATAATAAAAAATAATATTTTTTCATGTTATACGTACCAAATAAATAAACATGTTGTAATGTTGATAAATTAAACCAATTAATATCAATTTCATTGAAACGATTGTATCTCAAATCAATGATCCTTAAATTAGCTAGCTTAGCAAACAAATCCAATGATAGTTCTTCCAATTTGTTACTCGTTAAATTAACTTTCTGTTAAGAAGAAACATGGACGAAACAGAAACTTGGAGGTTGGGTTCTTCTTCACCTATCTGTACATTTATTATTTATACCAAAATTCGACAAAAAAAAAAGAAATGTTCAATGGAAGAAGATAAAAGTAAAAGAAAATTCACACGCAAAAAATCAAATAGAAATCTAAATCGAATTAATTAATTAATTAATTAAATGATTTGTTTTTTTTTTTTTCAAATACAAACAATGAAATACTTCGTTCGTGAAAATTAAAAAACAAAAAAAAAAAGAAATGAAATAATAAATTTCTAAGATTAAAAAAAAAAAAATAAAAAAAATTATCAAAGTGGGCAAACAATTTTTCAGAAACTTTCAATTGTGAAATTTTGATTGTGTTTGATACACCTGTAATTAAAACACCTGTTATCACTTACTTCGAGAAATTGACATTCTTCTGGAAAAGCATTAACAAATCTCGTTAAATTATTATTATTAATTATTTTTAATTTTCTCAAAGATGTAAATCCTTGAAAAACTTCTTGAGGATCTAACGTTGAGTTAGGCCAATTACACAATACCAGTGTGTGTACCGTTTTACCTCTAAAATAAATTGAAAAAATTAAAATAAACGTTTATACCAATATCTTTATTACAAATATATATTAATTTAATTATTTAATATATTTATAATTTAATTAATTATATATTAATTAATTATGAAAATATTTTAAATTATATAGAAGTTTATTTCAAGTATACCCTTTTAGGGTGTTTACCCCAAAGGCCCCCCCCCCTACATAATATTTTAAATTATATTATTTTATTATTTATATTTTAAATAAAACTATTAATTATTAAATATATTCATTAAATTAATTAATTATTTTATAATATATAAAAATTATATTTATAAATATATATATATAATAAATAAATATAAATATATTTTTATATTCGCGTGTTGAATATAATAATTATTTATATAAAATAAAATAAAATTACTAACTCATTTTTATATTTTTCGTCGATACCACCATAACAGGTTAAACGATGTCCATTATCTTTCAAATGACATTCTTGTAATTGGTTATTCGAATTAATTTTATGACAATCTAAATTTTCGTTATCTTGATTATAGCCATGAGAAAATATTATTTTTGATTGTAATGTTATCATCCTTTATGGGGGAATGGAAAAACAAATGTCAAAAATTAATTATTTTAAATAAATTATTAAATGTTAACACAAAACATATTCGTATGTACGAATATATTACAAATTTTAATTTTATATATTATTAATATAATTAATATATTAATTTTAATATAATAAATATATTAAATATTTTAATATGTTAAAAATGAATAAATAAATTATTAAATATTATAAAAATAAAAATCAATATAAACAAATTATAAAATATATTCAATACAAATTATAATATATTAAATTTAATATATTAATAATTTATACAATTAATATATTTAATATATTAAATAATTGAAATGTAATCTGTAAATTTTGCAAATTTGTTTTATTTATAAAATGAATTAATTAATAATTTATATAATTAATATATTTAATATATTAAATAATTGAAATGTCATTTGTAAATTTTAATCTTAATTTTTATGTACAAAATACAAATTTGATTTTATTTCTAAAACAAATTTATCTAAATTAATTTTACAAAAATTAATTATTTTATTAAATATTATATTCCAAAAAAAAAATAGAAAAATAGAGATCAAAAGAAACTAATGCAAAGTATTAGAAAATTTTATCTTATCGTACATTTTGAATTATGCAAATAAGAAAAATAAAAAAGAAGATTATGTTTCACCGTAATCACGTGTGTTCTAAATGCGTATAAAAGCTAAAAAATAAATATATATATAGATATATAAAATAAAAAGAAAAAATTAACAATAATTTGTATTTAATTTTATTACACATGTATACCTTACTTTTACGTAATATCAATGTTAAAATACTTTTTTTATTTTTTTTTTTTTATTTAACTTTTTAATTACGACAACTTATGAATGTTATACTAAACGATTTTGTCACATTCGTATGAGATAATAAATGTGGTATACAATTTTACAGTAAAAATATACGGAATACGTTATTCTGGTGATTTTTTTTCTTTTTTTATTTTAGTACGTTTACCGGAATAATAATTGGACTCTAATTTGATTTTACATTTTTGTTTTTTGTTTTAAAGTGACGAACTGAGGCTTTACAGTTTATTTGTTAATAATTATTTTTGTATTTTTAATTATTTTATGTATTGTAAATATTTTAATTATTATCTTATTTATTCTCATATAATTAACAATTTTTTATATTAAATTTTATGCAATAATTTTTTTTTTTTTAAATTACAAAAAAAAACCCCCAAATTAATAATTTTGATTTAAAACAAATGAAAAAAATTGAATCAAATCAAATCTAATAATATTCATTAATATTAATTAAAATATTATGTTAATTTATAAAAAAATTTATAAAATAATATTTTAATTTAAATTAAAATAAATATAATATTAATTTATATTATAAAAAAAAAAAATAATAATAATTTAAATGATAAAACTTACAAAATTATCATCCACATTTTTCTTGAGATCGATGAAATTGTTTTATGAATTAAAAAAAAAAAATAAAATAAAAATAAATATAAAACTTGTTTTTTTTTTTTGAAAATAATAATTAATTATTTTTTTGACAGATATTAAGAATATAATAAAGTATTTTTTTTTTCTTTTTTTGTAGACACGCTGTAAAAGATAAGAAATAAGCTACTGTTCTTCACATGTGCCGGTTAATGTGTTACTGAAGCTACAAATCTGATGACTTAACTCTTTATAAACATATTTCATGATAACGAACGCAGACGCAGATGAAAGATTTTATTTTTGATGTATATATATCATAATGACTATTCATTAACGAATAATATATTCATTATATAGATATATATATATATATATAAAAAAAAGGAGAGCATAATAACCAAATAAAATTTCATTTCAAATTTTGACCGATCAATACTTATACAATTATACAATTTATATTTATTTTAATTACATTCATATCTTTGTAATTAAATTATAATGAGATGCAATGAAAATAAATTTAATAAAAAAAAAAACAAAAAAAACAATATATAATAAATTATTTATTAAAAAAAAATTATATTTTCAATAATAATATATGTATTTTATTCATAACTTCGTTAACGATCTTTCATTGGTCAATTCCGTTGTAACTTGTCCAAGAAATTTTATACTATATTACCGACTGATGATAAGTTCGAATTATTGATAAATTTGTTGTTGTTAGACCTAGAAAATGAAAAATAATTGATAAAATTAAAAATGTATATTATTTAAACAATTAATTGTATTATGAATAGAAAAAATAATAATAATAATAATTTTCATGAAAACGACTTATTAAGCTTAACTTGTTGTGTGTATACAATCAACGTTAAAAAACGAACCAATGAACGTGCTGGACAAATTGATAATGGCATTGGAGTGGTCATTGACCTACGAATTTGTCCACAACTTCAAATCTTATATTATCTACATTGAAAATAACGCGATTCGTCAAAAGTGTTTACAACAAAATGAATCGAATGATCCAATCATTTAACGTGAATCCAAAATAGTGGTTCGATAATATAGTTTTTAGGAACACTTTAGGATTTCTTTGTAATACATCACATTTATACGATTGTTAATGAGAAATTCAACAAGGAAAAAAGTGGCTGTGATTTCAAGTGGGAAAAATATTTTCGTCATTTTTTAATCATCGTGGTAAAATTTTTCCTAATGTTTGGCTTTTTTTATTAATTATTATTATTACTAGAAAAACGTGGATTATTACTTTTTCCCGCGTGTTAAAATTTTGTCAGATCCTTTTTGCTTTTTTCTTTCTTTCTTTCTATCTCTCACTCTCACTCTCACTCTCTCTGCCTCTCTCTTTCAATCTGTCCACCGTTTTCTCTTTTAACGATTATAATAAAGTGTCTGAATTTTGTTATAGAAAAAAAAAAAAAAATGTCTGGCATTGCAATAGCACGATTAGCAGAAGAACGTAAAGCTTGGAGAAAAGATCATCCATTTGTAAGTAATTTCAATATATAATCAATACAACAATCATGTCAATGAAATGATTTGAATTAGTTACACATTTGTCAGAAAAAAATTCATTATCAAATTGATCATATCTTAAAACAGTGTCTTAAACTATTAACAAATTCGGCGCCCTTTTCTACTTTTACAGTTTCTTTTTGATCCTCATTTATATATGTGAGAAATAAAAAATATTTGTTTATATTACAATTATACAAATGAATAACCTAATAAAGATTGTTTGCCCATGTCTTATTCAAATGTGTTTATTAATATTGTATTTTACTTGAATATTTTCATTGTTGATAAATAACTGTATAAATAATTTCTGTATTATCATTTTTTAAGGGTTTTGTAGCAAGACCAACGAAAAATCCAGATGGTACGCTAAACTTGATGAGTTGGGAATGTGCAATTCCTGGGAAGAAATCTGTAAACATTTTGTCATATTAATTATTATAAATTATATATATAAATCAAATGAATGATTAATAATTATTAATATAACATTCTTTGCGCATGAATTTTTCTGTTGTAGACACCTTGGGAAGGTGGTTCTTACAAGTTGCGTATGATCTTTAAAGACGATTATCCTTCCAGCCCACCAAAATGCAAATTTGAACCGCCATTGTTCCATCCAAATGTTTATCCATCAGGAACAGTTTGCTTATCATTATTAGATGAAGAAAAAGATTGGCGACCAGCGATAACAATTAAACAAATACTTTTAGGAATTCAAGATTTACTCAATGAACCAAACGTCAAAGATCCAGCTCAAGCGGAAGCTTACACTATTTATTGGTTAGAAATCAAATTTATCATGAAATTATACATTATAATAATAATAATATCATTGTATATTTATACATAATTATTTTAATTATTACAGTCAAAATCGTTTGGAATATGAGAAACGAGTAAGAGCGCAAGCACGAGCAATGGCACCACAAGAATAAAAACAAATAAAATCTACCTTTATATATATATATATATATATATATACATACATACCTATATATATGTATATACTTATCACGATAACAATAACCGTGTTAAGTTAATAACATCTCATTTCATCTTTAGCAAACGTTATATTTAGTTGATTGATTCGATAAATATTTTTTTATACGTACAAAGAAAGAAAGAAAACAACAAAACATAGGAAAGAAAGATGATTCGATATATATATATTATTATTATTATTATTATTATTATTATTATTATTATTATTATTATTATTATTATTATTATAGTGATAACTTGTATAAATTATTTTACATCGTCAAAGAATCTATTGATTGAATTCATTTATTGTGTCAGAGGTTTCTTTTCTTTTTATTTTTTGATATCAACTATTGCTGCTGCTGCTGCTGTTGCTGCTGCTGTTGGTACTGCTGCTAATAAAAAAATATAAATGATAATGAATAATAATAAAAATCTTTGATTAACCGGTAAGCATTAGATTTTATGATTAATATTACAAAGTATGATATTTTTTGATTTTGAAGAACCACCGGTCTATTAAGAATTTAACGTAATTCAAAAATATCCGTTACTTTTAGCAATTATTGTTACATTAATTAGGATGATGTAGGTGTAAGGATTATTAAATGATAAGTCTCTCTCTCTCTCTCTCTCTCTCTCTCTTGTAATATCAAACACCAAGTATTTATGCATTATAATCTCAAAAGAAAAATACTTACATATATATATATGTAAGTATAATTCTCCATGATTAATAATCCTGTTAGTTTGAAATATAAGACTCATCCAAAAAGTGAAATAAATAATGTACAAAATGAATAAATATTAAAATCATTTCTTAACGTCTTATATACCTAAATCAATAATAATAATAATAATATTAATATTAATAATATCAAGTGAATTATCATAAAAGTAAAAGTAAAATTAAAAAGTTTAATCTACTATATATATATATATGTGTGAATGTGTGTGTATATATATTTAGCAAATGAAATATTTAAATTTAAAATGGATTTTTTTGTCGTATAATATAATCTAAAAAAAAATGGCATAATTAAGTTGTTTAGATCAAATGCATATGCAAAATTAATTGAAATTGACGTAAATCGATACCGAAACATAAAACCCCTTCTTCTTCTTCTTCTTCTTCTTCTTCTTCTTCTTCTTCTTTGTCTTCTTCTTCTTCTTCAATACACACATATGAATCATTTATAGTGATTATAAACGTCGTATGAACAATTTTCAGTGTTCTCCTCATAACATCGTGAGACGTTCTCAAGGAAAGATCGTTACTTTGATTTACTTTAATTTCGAACGTTTTTCAAATATTTTCATAATTATCGGTTAATCAGTTTCGTTTATAATTGCATACGCGTGTGTGTGTATGTGTGTGTGTTTGTGTGCTTGTGTACGCATGTATGAAAAATAAAAAAAGTTTAATATATATTTAAAAAATTAATATATAATATTGGCCTTTAGTTGGTTTGTTGATGTTGGTTGTTATTATTATTATTATTATTATTTGATAAAAATAACAATGTCTACTACTATAACAACTACTACTACTACTACTACTACTACTACGCCAGAATCATTGAGAAAACTTTCAACAGGATTGATTTTTTTATGCATACTTGGCACAATTTTGTCATATTATGCATTCATCGTAGAAACTACGAAGGAACGTGATCAATCTTATGAAGCATTGTGCGATATTAATGAATATATGAGTTGCAGTAGAGTAGTGACGTCCGGGTAAGTCGGTTATCATTAAATGTTATCATCTAGTTTCTTTTTTTTTTGGTTTTTTTTTTCCATTAACTTTGAGAACGCAAAATTTTCGTTAGATTCTATCAAAATTTTGATACTTTTCAATTCAATTTTTTTTTTTGTTCTTTTTTGTTTCATTACTATCATTTTTCTTTTGTTCATTTCATATATACATGTATACATATATACATGTATAAAAATAAAAGTAAAACTTTGTTATTATCATTTAAATTTTTTGTTCTATTAAGGTTATATAGTGTTTTTCAATAGAAAGTGACTTTATCGACTGTGGTATAAAACGAATCGAAATGTTAAATAATCGTACGATAAATTATACTTTTGTTCGATTATTTTTTTATTCATTTTCTAATTTAATAATTATTAATAGACAATTGCTTCAAAACATTATATTTTTTATAGTAGAAAGTTACCTTATCGACTATTGACAGTTTACCTTCTCTGATACTTTTCCTTTCATTAAATTTGTAAAAGGGAGTGACATTACCGACTGTCGGTAATTATATAACTATTTATTGATTTAATTTTTCTTTCTTACTCAATTTATTAAATAAGATAATAAACATTTAGTTTATTTCATCTTCATTATTATTATTATAAATATTTTTACAAGAATACAATATAATTAACGACTGTCGGTAATTTTGTAACATTTTTTTCAAATACCTTATCATATTAATGAATAATAATATAAATAATTATTTAACTAAATACATAACGTTAAAAATAAAAAAAAATAAACAGTTAGTTAATTAAATAATTATAAATTAAAATTTCAGATATGGCAAAGGATTAGGATTAATACCAAATAATTCTCTATTTTATTTTCCAAATAGTTTATATGGTTTGGGATTTTATCTTTTAATAGCTGGATTGAGTAAGTAAATTTTGTAATTTAAACACATATTACAATTTTTCTTGTTAACATTTATAAATCTGACAAAATATATATATATATATACATATAATATTTTTAATTTCAGGTATGATAAATGAACATTCTAGCGTGATCACGATTGTATTTTTAGGAATTTTATCAAACATCTGTTCGGTTTATCTGGCATACATTTTATATTTATTACGAAGTATTTGTGTAATTTGCATAAGCACTTACATCATCAATGCCTTTATCTTAATACTTGGTTTGAAAAAATTACGAATATTGGGAGAAGAAGTTATCAAAAAACCAACAAAGAAAAAAGTTCAATAATTTCAAATCAATGGAGGATAAAATGTAATAATAATCATTGAACCAAAGAAATTTTTAATCACATTTGTTTAGATATACTATACACACACACACACATATATATATATATATATATATGTATATATAGAGAGATATATTTGCCATTACTTTTTTTTTTGTTTATATTATTCTAATAAATATATATTTATTGTAATTGTTTTAATTCGTTTTTTTTTTAATCCTATTATTTAAAACATTCTATTATTTGTTTACACGCAAAAAAACAAAAAAAACAAAACATAGATTTTCGAAGGTTATGTCAAATGAGAGCTTGTTAAATGGAGATTATTTGTACTACGTGATACATTTTCGAACGAATAAATTTTATTTTTGAAAATAATTGCGCAATTAAATATGCTCGAGGGAAAAAATAATAATAATAATAAAAAAAAAAAGAAGAAAATTCACATTAAAAGAAAACTCGAAACAACAAATTTGCAAAACAAAACAAAAAGAAAATCTTTTACAGTTACAATGTTATCTTAGGTTAGAAAAATCTTTAAAACAAAAAAGAGTAAAAATAAATATACAGAAATAAAACAATGAAAAATACACACAAACGTATTTAAAAAAAAAAATTACAATGAAAAAAAATTTTAACAATTATATTCAACTCTTTTCTATTAACCTTTAAACAAATCCCTGTTACTACGACTGATACTAGCAAGAATTCCAGGACTTTTTAACGGTGGTGTCTCGTCCAAACGATTCAATTGTAAACTTGATTTATACGGTAAATTCAAATTATGTTTATCAATACGATTTTGATCAGCTTCTATGTTAAAACTTTTGCTACGTGCTAAATTTGATTTGTACGTTCTTTCAGGTTTAACAGGTGGTGTTGATAATGATGGTGTTTGATGAGATTTAGATGTTACAGCATTTTTAATGGATATATTAATCATACTGCCATATTGCCTTGAAGGTGTTATCATACCACCAGATGTATTATTCGTACTAGCCTTTTGAAATTGTAACCTTGACGATGAAACATGTTGATTATTCGTTTTATCCTCTGACCTCATCATATTCCTTGGTAAAGTTTGAACATTCCTGAATTGTTCATCCACCTCATACGAGTTTGTCAAACGACTTGTTGATTTGCTAAACCTGCCGAGTGAGTTGGTGACGACACTGGACGTGTCCAATTGATCCAATTGAATTGAAAAAAGAATGTAAACAAAACAAATCCGATAATCAGATTTTTCAATGATCTAATTGACCAAAAAAAAAAAAAAAAGAAATGAAGAATAAGCGACAATGCAAAATCTTGAAGTTGACTCTTAACGATTCACATGCTAGATTGTTTTATTTTTTATTTTTTATTTGTAATCCCTCATGCATCCTTCACCTAAATTCGCAGCTAGACGATACAAATAAGCAAAAGCATTCGATTGCTGTGTTTTTAATGTCATTCCATAAGTTATATTCTGATCACCCCCATATTGGTTGTGTGTATTTTAATTTGGTTGTTGTTGTTCTTGCTGTTGTTGCTGTTGTTGTTGTTGTAGTTGTTGCATATAAGATAACCCATGATGATTTATTTAAAATAGAATTTACCTGTATTCAGTATTATCGATGGGTGTTCCTGTTTTGGTCAGAATACGAGTTCGAGTTGGACGTTTGGCATCTTTGTAACCTCTTTCACGACCATAAATGCTACCACCGAATGGATCCTCACCTAGGTAATACCTTTGAACAGGTGGTATTGTTGCAGTTGTATCATTTTTTTGAATTTGATCATCACGATTGTTCGGACGAGTTGGTTTATTCGATGTTACTTTGGTCACCACTGTTGTACTATTTCTAGGTGACCTTGGTGGTCTCTCAGGTATACGATTTTCAATCTCACGATCGTTGAACAATGGAATATTTTTATCGATTACGTTGTATTGCATGTAAGTTGATCCATCATTGTCAGTTTGGGTTAATTGGGATACGGAATTGTTTAATTTTTTGTTTTTTCTTTCTGTACTGGCTGAACGTAATTTGCCAACGAGTTTACGGAATGATTCACCTATCTTGTATTTCGATTGATTGCTGGTACCTGTTGTATAAATAATAACAAATTGTTAGAACTGTAATTCAATCATTCATTTGTTATATATGAAATAAAAAAAGTAAGGTTATGTCGTATGTAAATTTAGATAATTGAGTTGTATTACAGCGCCATCTATTGAAAAATTACAGTACCTAAAGAGTTAGATAACCTTTAAATAATAAATGTTGATTTAATATAATTCTAAACTATTTTTAGTAAATTATAACAACAAGCAAAATAACACCACAATTAAAATGAAATAAATAAAATAATAATAATCGAAAAAATAGAAATAATAAGTTTATGTCGTATATAAATCCTAAAAAAATGTAGGACGTGAATATAGCAAAATAATTGAATTGTAATACAGCGCCATCTATTGAAAATTTACAGTACCTAAAGACCTACGTAACCACTAAATGATAAATCCTTAAATTAAAAAAAATGAAATAAAAAATTTCATTAAAATCGGTTGTCAGTAATTTCGAAGTTCATTGGGAAACAAACAAAATGTGACACTGAATTTTTAAATATATTAAAAAATATAAATATTGCAATTACTTTTAGATGATCTTGGTGATGGATTTGTTGAATTATCGTTCATTTTCTTATCCTCCCGAACGATCCTAACTTGTTTCGGTGATGCCGAACGGGACCTTGGGACGATTTGTTTTTTACGAGTATCACGTTCAACAGTTTGTTCTTGAACATCCCTCGTTCTACTTTCCCATGTTCTTTGAACAACTTGAACTGGACTGGATGTTCGAATCGTTGGTGACTCATTCGTTATCGTTTTCTTAACTATTCTCGAATGTAACTGTAATTGTAAACAATTAGAATTCATTTGAATGAAATGATACCATTGATTAAATTTTATTTTGATCAAACCTGTTCTTTGGGTTTCCTACGTGCTGGGGGTGACGGTGTAGCACGTTGTTTATCATCATGACAACTTTCCTGATGTTGTTCCCGTCTTTTAACCGACTCGTAAGTACGCGAGTAACTTGACTCGAATTGATTTTTCGAATGTTCACGAGAATGACCATTAATTCGAGTTGTTTCCAAATGTTGAGATGAAGGTGAACCCGTTCTTCGATGATTGTTATCTTCCTTTTCTAAATTATCAAATGAATCATTTGAATAATCTGTTCTTTTAACTCGTTTTCATACAGGTGCCGGATATATCCGGCATCTGTTTAATAATTTGCTTATATTAACGCCGTATATAACCGTCATCTAACTAAATACATTCAAAATACTCGTAAAAAGATGTTTAAGTAAAAAAAATGATTCAATTGTTGCTTATACTATCGCCGTATATATCCGTCATCTAACTAAATAGATTGAAAATACTCGTAACGGGATGTTTAACTATAAAAAAAAAGGATTCAATTGATATTTGATTAATTAGGTGTACCTTTGCCTTGGTATCTTTCGGACCATTCACTGATACCATGAAAATAACCACCAGATGGTGAATTTGAATCACGAACAATGTTAGTAGCTGAATGTTGTTGATGACGATTAGGAGAATTTACGTTCTGATAATCCCTTTCTCTTGGATTGCAGGATTTCATAGTTACGTGTATGTAACTTGTATTAGTGTTAGGTATGAAAGGACCATCATCAGCGTCTATGGAACCGTGCGATGAACGAGACTCGCTACCAAAGTGACTTTCTAACCATTTCGATGTCTCGAATTTCCTTGCCTCATCTTCCTCTTCCAAATCCAATGGTTTCTTTGTTAATGCATCTTTTCTTGCAGTTGGAGTACAATCTGTTGGAAAACCTGGAATTATATTAATAAATAAATTGTTTAATATTGTTGTTGTTGGTTTTTTTGTTGGTGTTGTTGTTGGTGTTTTAATTTATCGTATATAGGGTAATCAAATAAAATATAATTTAAATTTGTGTACATATTGTGTTGTACAAATTTTTAAATTACTTTATGGTTTACAATTTTTAATATTATGTTATTGCAATAATTAATAAATAATACTAAGGTTATAATTATTAAAAAAAAAAAATAACTAGGGTGTTTTATAGTTTGCATAATATAATTAAAGTAATAACAAAAAGAAAATGTATTTTTATTGAAATTGTTTTAATTAATAAACGTCATGTTTTAGTTAACAAATACCATAAAATGTTAATTTAACATTTATACAACAATATATATTAAAATATATTAAATACGAAATAATTTACCAGCATGTTTATGAATCCTAGTAGTTCTCATATTGTTTGATTGGTTAGATGGTTGGGGTGGGGGTGAAGACGACGACCAATCCCCGATTCGTTCACCTTCCGTCGTCTCAGCGACATAACGCATTTCACGTGCAATTTTTTCACCACCCGATACGTAATCGACAACGTCTTCTTCACGTTTTTTGATAAACCTATGTGAACCTTCTTTTTTGATTTCTAAAACTTCGTCCTCGTCGTTGTCGTTGACGTCACCGTTCTCGTCCGGTACTTCGTCGTCGTTGATCTAATACAAAAAAAAGGGAAAAAAAACAAACAAATTAAAAATTAAAAATAAATCTTCTGACAATATGGCGTCCTATAAAGTGAATCATAAATTGCAAGGAGTGGGGGTGAGAAGGAACCCTTCTATTAAGTTAGGTTAAGTTAGGTTAATTTAATTAACAATTAAATAAAAATTGGGACAAATTGTTTTTTCTTTTTTATAAAATTGCAATGTTTTACAATACTGGATAACATAATTTATAATTTCTGTCTTTTAAAATTGCATATTTTTTAAATTAAATTATTTTCAAATAATGTCTGACGCTAAGGAATAATATAATAATAATATTATTATTAATAATAATAATAATATATACTAATATAAATATAATAAAAATAATATTAATATAATAATAAAATAATAATATGATAAAATAAAATAAAATAAAATTAGCTAAGTTATGATTTTGAAAGAAAAATAATAACAAAATAATAATAACAAAATAATAATAATAATAAAAATAATAATAATCTATGTCTCATATAAAATACAGGACATTTTCTAAGAACTTTTTTATTATGTAAATAAAGGGTTACACCTGTATATTATAAAAATACAATAAATACAAAAAAACAAAGCAAAACTAAATAATAAAAAAAAAAATATAAGTGGTACCAATTTCACGGTAGAACGGTCGTCAGGATTTTACTTACTTATTGAAACGCGATTTCTATTATATATTTCTTTTATATTACTTTCTTTTTTCTTTTAGTGGAGGAACAGGGGTAGGTAAGGGGGTAAATATGGGATTAGTATAATTTTGTTGTTGTTTTGTAATTTACCTCCTCGTGCTCGACAGTTTTCTTTTTCTCCGTAATAATTAGACCATCGGATTTGAGTTCCTGTTTTTCTAGGGTCTTCTCAGTGTCGATAACCTTATTCGACCTGGTGGTATGCTGCAATATCCTTGGTCCTGTTTGTGGTGCAATTTGTTTCGTAGATTCGGCCAATGCTATTCTAAGATCGCCACGATTATTTTGAACAGCTTTTTGGTAAGCCTGGTTGTTTCCAAAAAAAAAAAGACAAAAAAATTCACATCCGATTACAAAACAAACAAAAAAATAGGTTAATACAATGTAGTTAATTGAAATTTTGTATTTTTTAATATTTTTCTATGTTGTTTCTTTCTTTTTTAATTGTTTGTTCTATTTTATGACGAACAGTTGAAATAAATACGAACAGAATGAATTAAAACGATTAAACTTGGTGATTTCAATGCCGGGGGAATATGAAAAGTGATACGACAAACCACTCGTTGAAATCACCGGAAAATTTCTAAAATAATACGAATAAAATTAATGAAAAAAATATGAAAAAAGAAAAATTATTTATAAATATATATATATATAACATGAGAATTTTATGATGAACACAATTTATGAATTAAAATAATTAAACTCGGTGATTTCAATGACCGAGTAATATGAAAAGTGACACGACAAACCACTCGTTGAAATCACCAAATAATTTCTAAAAAAATACGAATAGAAATAATTTCTGAAATATACGAAATGGAAATTATTTATAAATATATATATATATAACGTGAGAATTTTATGATGAACACAGTTTATGAATTAAAAAAATTAAACTCGGTGATTTCAATGACCGAGTGATAAGAAAAGTGACACGACGAACCACTCATTGAAATCACCAAATAATTTCTAAAAAAATACGGATAGAAATAATTTCTAAAATATACAAAATGGAAATTATTTATAAATATATATATATAACGTGAGAATTTTGTAACAAACACAGTTTAAGAATTAAAACGATTAACATTCGATGATTTCAATAACCGAGGGATCTCAAAAGTGACGACAAACCACTCGTTGAAATCACCGAATAAATTCAAAAATAATACGAATAAATGTAACGTAAATTATTAATGTATATATTTATATATAACGTGTGAAAGAGAAAGAGAGAGAGAGAGAGAGTGAGTGAGAGTGTATGTGTCGCAATAGTAACGATTCCCGACCTTCGCACGTAAGTTGACCTTGACGAACTACTGCGAACCTTCTCAACGACGTTAAAACGATGACGATGCGTTTATCAATCCTTCTTCATAGTTGTAGTATGTGAAAGTAAGTGAGAATGAAATGGATAGATAAAGATAAAAATACAGATAAAAAGATAGAAACAGAAAGTGATCACATTTTTGCATAATGTCAAAAAAAAAAAAAAGAAATAAATAAATTCGAAATGAAAATCAACAATTTTTGTAGAAACAAACAAAATGGAAGTTATATAACTCGATTGAAAAGAATATAAATATGAAAAAGAAATAAATAAGAATAAAAATGAGACAAATAAGAGATAGATGAATAAAAAGATGAATAAGAGAAAGAAGATGAAGAAGAAGAAGAAGAAGAAAATATCTGTTTAGATGGAGAACCCATTTATGACAGACGAACGAACCGCGACGAAACAGCTGCTGCGACTGCGGTCGTGGCATCTCGTTCGTACTCTTTCCTTAGTTTCTTATTGGGTGAAGGGAGAACAAAATCGAGAGAGAGATCATCGACTTCTACTTACTTACATACTTCTATACCATCAGATAGAAAGAGAAAGATAGAAAGAGAGATAGAGAGAGATAGATAGAAATAGTGTTTTTTTTTTCTTTACCCTCTCTTCTTACACCACTAACATTACCACAAATATCACTAACAACCACTACCATTAACTTACCATCGATATTATCATCATAATAATTATAAATAACAATGCTATTGTTATCATCAAATATATTATCAAAATTATTATTAATAATAATGTTATTTATCATTGTCGTTTACTATTGTGTTAATTAATATTACTATAGTTTTTAGTAATAATAAAATAATTGATAAAAATTATACACACTATCAAAATTATTATATTAATAATAATAATAATAATAATTATTATTATTATTATTTAATAATATATTATATATTATATAATAATTGTTATTAAATAATATAATTATTTGTGGTTGACTATTATTTAAAATAATATCACTATAATTTTTAGTAATATAACTAGTAAGTTATATACATTATACAACTAACACAATAATAAATAAAACTATAAAGAATTATACTTTCAATATTATTTATTATTATTAATAATAATACCATAAATTGTGATCTACTATCATTTAAAATAATATTTCTACACTATTGCAAATAATATCACAGAATACTTATTAATAATAATCACCTAACTATTACAAATTACACAACCAAAATTATTATTATTAATAATAATCATATATTTCATAATCCCAACACCAACAATATTACCTGCATTTCCTATCTTTCATTCTAATCAACACACCTGTTGCTTTCGTGTTAACACATCAAACTCCATTAATTGCATTATTAATTAGTATAATTGCAGATATTATTCAATTAATTAAATTCTTATCATAAATAATAAATCAAACTTCATATTTGATATATTTCCAAGTAATTTACACTTAGTTCAATAATATTGTTTAAGATTAGTTTTATCAATCATGTTAATAAACAATTAAGATTTGTCATGTTTCTCTTTCAAAAATGTTTCATTTTAATAATTAAAGTTCAATAATGAGAATTAATGGTGTTGCAATGAAAATAATTTGATTGTTTGATTATTATTGTTCTATTGTTGTTTCATTTGATAATCATTCATAGGTATAATACTTTCAGTATTATTGGAAAGTGTGTACCATTTTCTATTGCATTACCAATCGTGAGCAATGAAAGAGAAAAAGGGGGAATCGTTACGAAGGTATTCATGAGGAAGATGTTGTGAAAGCAAGCAAAGAATGAATTCATTCGAAAAAAAAATACAATTCCTCGACCTTTACTTAGCCCTTTAAACAATATCCGAAGAAATATGAGAATTACTGTTATTATTATTGGTTAATAGGAGGATGAGTGAAATGCAAAATGTCGAGGTGTTAAATGCAACTTTCAAAATTCTCTCCTGATCTTAAAAATGAAGTTTTATCAAATATAACAATTGTTTTTATTGTATCAGTTTGATAAATGTGTCAATTGCAATTGAAAAAGCTTTTTATAGGAAACTATGAAGAAATGTGAGAATTGTTGGTTTGGGTTTTATCAATATTATTAAAAGTTTTAAAGAAAACAAGTGGAATTAGAAATGTGGGTGTGTTAATTGCAATTGTGAAACCTTTTACAACACACTAAGAACAAATATGAGAATTATTGGTTTGGGTTTTCTCAATATTACTAAAAATATTTATTAAAATAGGTGGAATTGGGAATGTGGGTGTGTTAATTGCAATTGTGAAACCTTTTACAACACACTAAGAACAAATATGAGAATTGTTGGTTTGGGTTTTCTCAATATTACTAAAAATATTTATTAAAATAGGTGGAATTGAGAATGTGGGTGTGTCAATTGCAATTTAAAAAGCTTTTTACAGCAAACTATGAACAAATATGAAAATTGTTGGTTTGGGTTTTATCACTATAACTGCACGTTTTTATGAACATAGATGGAATTGAAAATATGGGTGTATTAATTGCAATTGTGAAATCCTTTTACAGTTAACTATGAACTAATATGACAATTGCTGGTTTTCATATTACTACAATTCTTTAAGAAAACAGGTGGAATTAAAAATATGATTGTGTTAATTGCAATTGTGAAACCCTTTTATAGTTAACTATGAACTAATATGAGAACTGCTGATTTGTGTTGTATCAATATTACTACAGCTATTTATGAAAATAAGTGAAATTAAAAATGAAGGTGTATAATTACAATTGTGAAACCGTTTACAGCAAACTATAAACAAATATGACCATTGCTATTTTTCCTTGTATCAATATTACTGCAATTCTTTAAAAAAACATGTGAAATTGGAAATATGAGTGTGTCAATTGCAATTATGAAACCTTTTACATCAAACTAAGAACAAATACAATTGCAGGTTTTCATTCTATCAATATTACTGTAATTTTGTACAAAAAAGATAAAATTTAGAATATAAGTGTATCAATTGCAATAGTGAAACCTTTTATATCAAACTAAGAACAAATACGACAATTACAGGTTTTCATTCTATCAATATTATTATAATTCTGTACAGAAAAAGCTAAAATTAAGAATATGAGCGTATCAATTGCAATTGTGAATCTCCATTATATCAAACTATTAACAAATACGACAATTGCTAGTTTTCCTTGTCTCAATATTACTGTAACTCTTTACAGAAAAAGATGATTTACACATATTCTCAATTATAGATGTGTCAATTGCAATTGTGTAACCCCATTATATCAAACTATGAAGAAAATTACGAGAATAAGCTGATTTTTCATATTCCTACAACACTTTAAAAGTAAAATCAGATAAAATTGCAATTGTAGGTGTATTAGAATTTATATTATACCTCGTCGGAGATATCTCCAAGTTGTTGACGATCCTCAGTTTCAAGTCTTTCCTCAATTTCCTCCCGACTTTTGACAATAGTTTCGTTAAGTTCCTTTTGAACTATACCGTCAGTTGTTTCTTTTCCAGCTACCGGCCATTCGACTTCTTGTGGTTGATCACCAGTCGTTCTTCTCTAAAATATATCATACAAATTTCTTTATTTTAACAATTTTTTCTTTCGTTCATTTTTTTTCTATTTTATTTCTCAAACAAACCGAACAGTTAATCCTCCATTTGCATTCAAACGACGTCATTCAAATTCATAGCGATTTATTACCGTGAAATTATTTTTATCTTTTTATATGCTTCACAAGGTCACGTGTTATTCTTGGTTTTTACAATAGTCAAAAATAAAAATAATCAAATTCGATCCCACCACTATTTTCTTGTTTTTTTTTTTATTGGTGGGGGATTTGGGGAAAAAGTTTCTTCGTCATTTTTCTTTGGTTTTCTTTTTTGTTGTTTTTTTTTATTTTTTTTTTCAGGAAGGAGTCAAACAATAAAACTTGTGTTAAATTATGTTCTTTTTACCTCTTCAGTAGTGTGTTCCTGTTGTTCAACATCTTCAGTAGTATTGGTGGTAACAAATGGTCCAGTATCAACGACAACTTCACCATCTTCCAATACAACTTGTCTTTTAACTCTCGTCTCTATTTGTCTGGTAGTTGTAATTTCTTTCTTCTTACGTGTCTCCCATTCTTCTGTTAACAATAATAATCAAAACTAATCATACTATACATCTATATATGTATATATATATATAAGCTTGAAATATAACATTTTCATTGTGTCTTTCAAAAGTTCATTTCCTGTACTACGAATGAACCAGATGTTCTACAAGATGAAAACAAATAAAAAAATAAATAAAAAGTGAATAAACGTTTTGTAGTAACATTTAAGTATAGTGTTTATAACGGGGATAACTTCAGACTTGACTGAACAAGAAGAAAACCGATAATGATCGGAAGTTTACTACTGGTAATATTTTCTTTCATCATCATCATGATCATCATCATCATCTTTTTCTATGAAACTAAGAGTACAAACATTTTTGTTTTTTATAGGAATGTTTACATTTGACATTTCTACAAATGTTTATTATATGATGTCATGGATATATTTAAAATATTTTATTAATATTTAATACATTTTCTATGATAAATTTTTAATGTAGAGTATGTAACAAGAATATGTTAGTTACATGAAAAGTAAATTTTAATGAAATTTTTAATATGTAAAATGTAATATGTTAAATATCTGATCTCATGTGTATTCATATCAATTTAATATATAAGTTAAATTTATTATATAGTTTTATTATATTTATATATAAAAATATAGAATATTTTATTAATGTATTATTAATAAATAAAAATAATATTATAAATATTATATTATAATTATTATATATTTTTATTGAAATAATATAATAAATATAAATATTATATTATATAAATAAATTAAAATAAATTAATAATAATTAATACTAATATATTAATATAATATTATACATATATTATATATAATTTAGAATATATCTTCTTAATATATATAAATTATGTGTCAAGTTGTTTGTCCGCAATGGACTCCTAAACTACTAAACCGATTGTAATAAAATTTTGCACACTGTATGCAGTTTCATTCAACTTGAAAGATAGGATAGTTTATATCTCAATTTATAATCGCAATATTATTTTATTGCAAATTATTTGTTTGTTAACAAAGAGTCATGATTATCTCTGTTAGTTCGATAAGATTCTAACAGATGGCGATATAAGGTAATTCGTTGACTGGATTTAGTAAGTATCCAATAGATGGCGCAAAAATCGAAAGTAAGAGATTACTATATATAAAATTTAATCAAGCAAAACTTTGTTCTAAAGGAGTACATTCATTTTTGTACATGTAATGACGTTAGACATTGTAATAACTTTTTAATAAAAATTTTTATCAAAACGGTCCAGATTGTTACAGCTTATTCAAAAAAAGTTTGAAATTTTCGAATTAAAGACGTGTGTATCGGACTGATTGTGAGCCACAGCAATGCGTGGCGGGGCACAGCTAGTAATAAATATATTATAATAGAAAAATTATTATATAATATTATATTTATATATTAACATGTTGACGCCGGCGCCGATTTTCAGTGTCTGCATTTTGGGGCGGCACTCGAATCTAAGATGCGCTTCATCTGGCGGCGCGTGATTTTTGCTTGTTCAAACCTGGACCAAGGTGGACCACCGGTGGTACACGCCGCCCGATGGGACCGTTTAGCGCGAGCCACCGGTGGTACACGCCGCCCGATGGGACCGTTTAGCGCGAGCCACCGGTGGTACACGCCGCCCGATGGGACAGTCAAGCGCGGGCCACCGGTGGTACGCGCCAGCGTGAACGTGTTAACATAAAATATTATAATTAATTTTAATATATAATTTATTATTATATGTTAATTTAAATATTAAAACTTTCTAAATTTAAATTTATAAAATATTATTTTTATTTTTTATAATTTTATTTTATAAATTATATCGTAATATTTATTATAATATTATATATTTATAAATTAAATTTTTATATTAATACTGATTATTAATTAATGAAATATTTAATATCATTCGTGACACAATTATATTAAATTTCATTTAAGCTAATAATATTGAATATCTGTTAATCCTCTTAACCTAATTAGACCCCTTAAAACGTATTAGTGTATGTGATTGGTAGATTGATCAATTTTAAATTAAAATTTATTTTTGTATCAAGTTCTTCAAAAAAAAAAAAAAAAAGAAACAAAAAGATAAATCAATGAAACTATCATGCATAAATTAACAAACGTTTATAATATTATATAAAATATAGTAATGCAAAGTGTTTACCTTCTTTGACCAATGCCACGGAATTCTCAGGGTCAACCTAAAGAAAAACAAAATATTAAAATAAAATAAAAGATGGAAAGTTATGTTTAAATGTGGATAACTGGTTACGAAGTATCAAGAATAAATGAACCTTTTTTATTTTTTATTTTTTTTTATATTTGTATAATCTCGTTTGACTATCTCACTTGTTGATACTTTACACATATGTATTTATATATGTATATATATATATATGTAAAATACTTACGAGAATTCCATGATGATTTGTCGTAGGTGGTGGTCGAACTTCGTATCTACGTGTTGAAATGACCTCCATCACAAAATCATCTCTAAACTTGGCCTAATTTCTTTTTTATATTCCACTTTAATATTATTAATGGAAATTTAATAATTTTCAAGTTATCTGTAAATAAAATTGTATAATTTTAAATTAATTTCAATTGAATTTTGTCAAAAGTGTTGTCAGATAATTATTAATATTAGGTTATTAACTATGAAATATCTGATTACTTGGATTATTTTCATCTTGAAATCAGACATTTCATATTTAATGATCTAATAGTAATTGATATGAAAACAAAAACAAAAGAAAAATAATAATAAGAAGAAGATAACAAAAAATATCATAATTAATAATAATATAAATTTATTATTTATTTTGTAATAAATTCTAAAAATGTTGTTATATATTTTATATATTTAGAATATAATTAACTTAATATTATTTATTTTATTATGATAAAATATAAAATTTATTTAATTTAATGTAATATAATAAATAGTATAATTATATATATATATATATATTTATAATTTATATTTTAATTTTATTTTATTTTATTATATATATCTATATATATTAATTTAACTAAAATTTTACAAATTAGTTAACAAAAAAAAGAAAAAATAATAAAAATATAAAACCAAACGTAGGGTATTGGGATCTGTAGCACTTGAATACGCTATTTGGTGGCTAAAATCAAAATTAGAGTAGATAAGTCGAATTGCTACGTCACGTGAGATCTCTAGCACTTGAATACGCTATCTGGTGGCTAAATTCAAAATTAAAGTAGATAGGTCAAATTGCTACGTCACGTGAGATCTCTAGCACTTGAATACGCTATCTGGTGGCTAAATTCAAAATTAAAGTAGATAGGTCAAATTGCTACGCCACGCCCCTGCCAGAGATCCCAATACAAAAATTGATATATAATTTTACTTATTATTAATTAAATATAAATACATTGTTAAAATTTTCATATATCACACACATACACAGACACACATACATGTATGTATTGATGTGTGTAATTGACAATTGAATTGAAAAATAATAAAAATATAAAGTCAAACTGTGAGGAGTGTAAAAATTGCTAATAAACAATTTTATATGTTATTAATTAAGTAAAAATAAATTGATTAAAAATGTTCATAGTTCATAGAATAGAATAGATAGAAGATTCATCAAGAATAACGTTGACAGGAGGTATAATAATTCATCGGAAGAGACTGTATATGGAAGTCGAAGGCCGCAAACGGTACGCGGACGGTACGCGGGCGATACGCGGGCCTGTGGTCTTGGCCACCTCGATATGGGATTGTATGGGATTGTATGGGATTGCTATACGATATCGAGATGGTTTAAAGACATGCGTATGCCACGATCGACTGCTCGAATCCTTCGATCACATTGGCGCCGATCACTTGGAACGAATCATCTAATGCATTCTAATGCATTCTAATGCATTCTAATACATTCACATATTTTTTCTCATCATCAAATTTATCTCGTAAGATCAATTAATCATCGTTTAATATTTCTAGGGTTTATTTTCTCTATTATTGTTATTTTATTTTATTTTATTTTATTTTATTTTATGTTGCTTTGTTTTGTTTTGTTTTGTTTGGGATTATTACATATATTTATTATTTTATTTTATTTTATTTTGTTTTTTTATAATTGATATTTATTTATGGTATTAGTTTTATTAATATTGTATTTTACATTATTATATTTATTTATTTTTTAATTTTATTTTAACTTATTTTATTATATTTTATTTTATTATATTGCATTTCATTAATTAGGATTTATTTGTAGTATTATTTTATTAATATAGTATTTTACATTATTATATTTATTTATTATTTTATTTTATTTTATTTTATTTAATATTTTTTATATATTTTATTGATTTATATATTATAATTTTAGTAATTATTTGAGAAATATCTTTACATTTAAACGAATACAATATGGCCGCCACATATTTCTTTACGATGATATTCTTTTTTAAATTAATTACAATATAATTAAACAAAAAATAGTTTATTTGTTCTATTTATTATTTTATACTCATTTGTTATATTGAATTATTTCTAATCAATTTTAATAATTATTTGAGAAATATCTTCACATTTAAACGAATAC